TACTAGTCTCTCTACTTGGCATATTTTGCATGTTTCCGTAATAAAACATCTTAGAGAATTAATTTAAGAGCAGAGCATTTCAAGCGCTGAACAATCTAAACTGAAAGTGTATTCATTTCTAATGGCAAAATTTACTTAGAAAGTAACTTCTGGTAAAGTTCTTCCAATAAAATGTTGTACAAAGCTAGTCCACTGGAAAGTTTATCCTAATAAATATTATATAAAATAATAAATATTAAAAAATTAAGCCATTCCTTTTTTATATAAATATCCTTACTATTTTTGTTTTAAGTCTTATTCTATTTACTTATTATTTTTGTTTTGTCTTTGTTTATTGATCTTTCAAAGAGAGGAAAGGAGAGGGAGAGAGTGAGAGGGAGAGGGGGCGGGAGGGGGAGGGGGAGAGGGAGAGGGAGAAGGGGGAGAGAGAGAGAGAGAGAGAGAGAGAGAGAGAGAGAGAGAGAAAGAAGCATTGATTAGCTTCATCCCGCACACACCCGAATGGGGGATCAAGCCTGCAACCTAGAGATGTGTCCTGACCCTTAATCAAACCTGCCACCTTTCAGTGCATGGGGGGACACTCCAACCAACTGAGCCACACTGGCCAGGGCTATTTATTTAATTATAAATTAGCACCAAAATTATAAACAAATTTTATATGTATTACTATTCTCTGAACCTCAGTAGTTGATATTTCTGAGCTCAGAGGGTCAAAAATCAACTAATAACCTACACTCTACACTCTTCGTGTATAAGTAAACTACCAAATGTAAGCTCCATGAATGCAAGATGTTTTTTTCCAGTTTTTTACCCCCAGAACCTAGAAAAGTGACTGGCACATAGTAGGCACTCAATATTACTGAATTAATGACTTTGGAAGGTCAGAATCAATAAGCAATATGCTTTCTTTTCATATCAGGAATCATCCTGGTCTCATAAGCAAGACTTGTATATTAATCACACAACCTTCAATAGACATTAATTCTGTGAGGTTCGTTTTTTTTATTTACTTATTTGTTTTTAAGGAGGTATGATTTGCTTACCTTGAAAAAGTGTCTCTATGTATTGCATCATAGGAATGAAATATGCATAATTTATCATTATCTAAGAAATATAAACTAAACTAAACTCCCAGTGTCCACATCTGTCACAGGACAGCCTGTGGGGAAGGACCCTGAGTCTGGACGTAGGTCTCCCACTCCCTAGTCCTGTACCACAGGGAATGTTACTGCCCCTGTTTGTTTGCCTCAGTTTCCTCATCTGTGGAATGGGAAACATAATTTACCTAAAAGAGCTGTTGTGAAAATTAAATTACTTAGTAAACGTAAATCTCTAGAATAGTGTCTGACATATAGTAATTGCTCAATTAGTGTTATCTAGCACTATGAAGACTCTAAGAAATGTCTTGGTTTTTACATCATAGGAGCATACTCATGACCTACTGACTTTTAAAATCTTAAACAGAATAAAACTAGAGAAATGCATCTGTACCATGTACAAGTTTTCACGTTTACAGATAAAGTAGGGACAGCGTGAACTGATTATCAAAATTGGGGAATAAGTTAGAAACTTCCTACTTTTTCAGAGAAGAATTCATCAAGTAGAATTTCATACTTATACATTGTTTTCTGATTAGAAAAAAAAAAGATAAAATCCCACTTAATCCACCCTGTTGACATAATGTATTTCCTGTACTTTTTTTCTATGCATATATGTGAAATTTTATATAATTAAGACTGTAGTGGGGGAGGGCGGGGAGGAGAGGGAATGGGAGGCGGAGGGAGAAGAATAAATGGAGTGAGGAGTTTAAGTGGGGAAAGGGGATGGGGGTTTCTGCATAGCAGTCCCCTGTGTTCACATTCCTCTTCCAAGAGACGGATTGAGACTCGGACTCATAGCCTACTGTGCCATATAAAACATCCTTGCTGCTCACTACACCTCAGCCCACCTCTTCTGGGAAAAGCAAAGAGCCTGCCAGCCTCAGCGTTTTGCATATGCAAAACAGCAGATCAGATGCATCCTGTAGCTCCCATCCTTGAGACACAGCTACTGGCATGTGTGCTGGGAAGTGCGGGTTTGGGTAAGTTTCCTTTCTGAGAGGGCCCTCCCTCTCAAAGGCTGTATTCATATAGAATATTTACTTCCAAAGGATGAGAGAAGGTCCACTAAAATGGAATTCAGAGATTTCCAACTCCCACCCCTTCCCCTTTTTAATAGGAACCTTCTTTATTTCAGACCAGATAGTGGTACCCAAGAGAGAGAAAGACACAGGATACCGTCATAAATCATGGGTGCTATGCTCCTCACTTACCCACATGAAAATCACACTTCAGGAGCCTCGAGTTTTACAGCAGGTGCAAGGAGTCTGCTCTCCACGGGGCTCAGCTCTGCCCCGGGAAGAAGGGCTCGGTACAGGCAGTTCATAGGCTGCAGATGACTCGCTGGTGCCTCCCCCAACCCTGGGGGGCGTTACCTAAACACTCAGGACCCAAACCAACACAAACCAACAAAAACAAACCAGAAAACGAGAGACAGGAAACCTCAGGCCTCGAACAGGAGGCCATACTTTTTCCTGCTGCCTCCCCCAGCTCCTCCCACTCTGCTGCCCGTCCTGCACAGGGACCACCTGTCCCATCATGCTCTCTGCTTGCTCCATAACCAACAAGCAGCAAACTGCAGACCCTCGGGGATCTAAATGACAACAAAGACCTAACACATTCATCTCAAAGCAAACAATTCTAAGTTTTCCTATTTACCCACAGCAGAGACCAAGGAGCCTAATTTAAAACCAAGTCAACACACCGTGATCTCTGTCCCTCTGTGAGGTTACAGTACAGGGCCCAGTGATGAAACCTCTGCTTACCTACAAAATAAAGTATACCTGTGATCTCGGGCTCCTTCAGAACAGCGATTCGGCTTTTTAACAGTGTAATAGCTCGCGTTTTTTAAACCAGGGTTTTCACCCACTTTGGGGAGGCGGAGACTCACTTTTGACTCGCCCACGGTTTAACCCCCAGCTGTAGACTAGCATTTCCTACCAGTGCGTCGCACTTGGGGGTGCAGGGCTCTCGGTTCACATCACTGAATGGCACAGTGTGGCTCCCCGGTGCCCATTTCCTGCGCGCCCCTTCCCGGAGCCCGTGCCAAGAATCAAATCTTGGCCACTTAGCGCTGTGCGCTCCACATGTGAGCTCACGGCGCGCTGAGCAGCGTGCTAACGGAGATGGATAGCCTGTCAAGCAGGAAGCCGGCACGCCAGGATGCAAGCAGTGGGATACAATGACCTTTACATTCAGGGAGGAATATCCCTAAAATGGCATGAAAAGTGTGGGGGGGTGCGGGGGGCGCCCCTTTTATTTCATAGCGTGGAATAAAAGCATGCTGCCAGCGTGCAATTTGCTCCAGATCACATCTTGAATCCTTCGCACCAGAAGGAAAGTCCTGGGAGAAAGGAAGGGAATCATCCTTTACTGAGCTGCTGTGGCGCAGCGGACGGACGCCAGGATTCGCTGTAGGCAGCGCCGGACCTCCGAGTGCTCCGGGTGGGGTTCCGAATGCACTTGGGCTCACCAGAAGCCAACCTTCGGGACCCCTGGTTTCGGATGGGCTGTTATTTTGGGAGAACTAAGATAGAATTTAGATACTTCACGACAGCATTTTTTTAAGGTATTGATCTGCTCACAAAATCAGAGCTTAGAGCTTGATCACTGAAATCCCATGTCCTTGGTCATCATATTTGTTAGTTTGCATAAATAGCTTAATCTCTCCTGGTTTCCTTATCTGAATAAATAGATGTTCTGACTGATCGCTCCTAGGCATTTTTGGAAGAGGAACGAACTCATACACAAAATAGCAAAGATCCTTGGCACAGCCACACGCGTGAAGATGGTAATTTATAGGAATATATGTAGGAAACTGGGATAAAACACAAAACCCAGAAGTCACAGGTTTCTCTCCTCCAGTTATAACTATTATCATAAACTATGCAATTCAATCATTTCAGCTGGAAAACAAGGATAATCATTCCACTGAGTAAAAAAAAATTTTCTATTCTTCAAGGTTTGGGGCTGTTTGTGTTGTTATTTGTTTTGTCAGTCCTTTGGCAGGAAGAACAATGGGCTCTGCCTAGAAGGCTGCCGCCCAGGCTCACAATGGGCTCCCAGCCGCACAATCACGCTGAAATACTGATGCAACTTTAATATTCAATTAAATAGGTGAGAGGGGTTGATCACAATGACACTGAGATTTTCTTTTCTTTTTTTTAATGAATGGATTACATCAAAACTACAGCGCAGTATTCAAAGACACAAAAGTCAGATGCATCCATTTTTTTTTCTGTTTAATTAAAAGCCGATTGTAAAGTATGGAAGTTGCAGTAAATACATTTTTTAAACTGAGCGTTTATAAATCATGTACTAAAGTTTGGCAAGTTAGGAATGAAACACATCAGCACCAGCTCAAAAACATACCCATCTGGGGACTCAGAAAATGCCAGGGTTATCAACGGAAAACAAACCATCAAACACACGTGGGATGATCACTTTGAAATGCAAGGTGGTTTGGGCGGCTCTAGAGGTGCTGGTCCAATCTTTCCTAAAGCAACCAGAAAATAAGACTCCACCCTGCCAAGCGTGGCTCAGGGGTTAGGCGTCAACCTATGAAACCAGGAGGCCGCGGTTCGATTCCGTGGTCAGGGCACATGCCCGGGTTGCAGGCTAGATCCCCAGCGTGGGGTGTGCAGGAGGCAGCCGATCAACGATTCCTTCTCATCATTGATGTTTCTCTCTCTCCCTCTCTCTCCCTTCCTCTCTGAAATCAATAAAAACACATTTTTTTTAAGAAAAGACTCTGCACAAAATATTCTGCTGTTCACTGTTTTGAAAAGATGCTCAATTTGACCATTCTCCTCCAACCCATGTTTGGAGAATCACTTCAGGGAACACATTCTTCCCCACATCACGACAGACAAAAGGCAGGAGGCGGAGGGGAGGGGGTGATACCTTGGGCCTGGGCGGCGGAGCTGTGGGAGTAGCCCAGGGCCAGCAGCGCCGTCTCCACCAGCTGGCTGAAGAGCACGTCCTTCCGAACCAGCACGAACTCGGCGTGTTCTTCTCGGTTGTCATATTCGAGAGAGCCGTCCAACTGCTCCACCACGCAGAAGACAGGAATCATCAGCCCTGGGGACACGAGGCAAGAGCGAAAGGCAAACATTACCCAGCGCGTCTCTGTCACCACGACGAGGAGGGAAGGGACAGTCGTAAAAGTCACTCATCTGTGATCCGTGATGGTTTAGATTACACAAGCCTCTCAGTCAGATGGGCCTAATGGGAAAGCTGTGGGTCCCCCCTCTTTCATTACTCTCGGGCCGAGGCCAGGCTGCCCTGGGCCACGGGGGAAGGCCTCTGACTGTAGTCATTAAAAGGGGGGCCGCACCAGTCCATTGGCGGAGTCCTGCCTGCCCTGCCCGGTGGCACAGAGGTGAGGTCCCGGCGACCTGCGGGCCCCTCGCACCCTTCCCCTTCGTGACTACGGTTTTATCATTAACTATCAACCAGGAGGAGTATTTTCAGGTCAGAGCTGCTTTGGTCGGAAAGTGCTGTAAATTACCCAGGAGGACGGTAGGTTCGACGTCAGGGCCTGTGCCATTGTGTGACTATGTGCCGGAACGTCAAAAGGCGTGTAAGAGACGTTTCTCCTGTGTGTTTTATGTTTCTAAATCCTGATAAATAGGTCATCCATGAGCCTGAAATAACCCGTCCATGAGCGTCCTAACTGACGGTGAGCTTAGGTCACAATATACCTCGAAATAAAAAGACTTTGTCCTCTTTAAAATATGATTTTTATCCATCGGCGCCCGTGACCACTGGAAGGGGACGGTCTCTTGTGTTTTCAGAGAAAAGAAGTAAACTCCCCCAGAGAATAAAGCAAATTAGTCTCATTGAAAATCTGTTGAAATCTGTTGTCACTGAAATATTTCTCTGCTTTGTATCAAAGTGTGAAAAGCTAAAAAAATGCTTAATTTGCCAAAGATTTTTATAAACTTTTTTTTATTTAAAAAAAAAAGTTGTACAGGAGTTTAAATCTAAACATAGTCAAGGCATAAGAAGATCAAAGTTTCGCCAACATACAAGCAATAAACATGGACTCTGTCCCAGGCGACCTACACAAATGAGCGTGTTATGGACTAACAATCGGCTCTGGATGTTCTCTTTGTGCAAGAAAATCGAAAGCTGTGAAGGATGGTGGGCAGGCGGAGGGAGAGAGGGGGAGATGGAGGGTCAGTGTCGCTGTGAAGGCCCCTCACGCTGAGGGTGACACCTCTGGGCAGTGCCGTGCGGAGGGCGCAGCCCCTCCCTGTGGCCGGACGCTGGCAGCCTGACTCACTCTGACCTGGACAGAGAGGGCGGCAGCAGACACTCCGCCAACGACCAGCTCGAAGATTTTTGTTCTGAAGATAATACAAAGGCACAGCTGGTTCCCAGGTGCTAATTATTATTATTAAAGATACTAAGTATTGGGTGTCATTATTAAGTGTAATCCTTATTAACAATAATAACACTCATTAGGAACTGTTATCATTAGAGATCGGGGTAATTGTTATTAAGCCGGCACAACACTCTAAAAAGTCACACCGTATCATCCCTGGGACGACGACTGACTCAGTGTTCACTCTGGAGAACAGCAGAGCAGCAGTACTGCTTAGAGCAAGTGCACCATCGATGGGGCGGGCGGATTTATGGGAAACAAGAAATAAGGATGGAGCAGACTGACTGTTCTAGACAAAGAAGAGAATGCAGCCTGGCCACGGGGTGGCCTTGCAAAAATACCTTTTTAAAGAAATGCTTATTTATGTATGCCCAGTGTATTCCCAAATATAAGTAAGACATGTAATGAATAGTAAAAACTAGATGTCCTTCACATTATCTCATTCATGTATCCAAGTTGTATCCCCTGAACACCTACTGTGTGCCAGGTATCCCCAGTGGCACCAGGGATACAAGTGAGAGCAAGTCTGATTGGCTGCTGCCCTCAATGCTGTTGCAGGGGCTGTAAAATCTTCTGAAGCAAGAATAACAACATTTTATAGGACCGACTCCTGAGAGGCCCTCCCGGCAGGGAACACCCCCCTTTCAGACCTTTTAGCTCTCACATCTCTGTCTGAGGAAGTGGGTGGATTTCTATTTTTAAAGATTTCAATGTATGCACACATGGGGCCATGTCGTCAGGGGAGCCATAAGCTTCCTCACCACTAATACCTGTGTGTACGTGTGTCTCGACGCTGACAGTCCATGTGCAGTTCCTAATGCCAACACCTGAGTGTCACGCACCTGGGAATCACAGATGAGACCTTCCCATGAACCCAGGGGCTCCAGGAGCTATTACGTATCCATTACTTAGGAACCATAAATCCTCCTCAAGTGTAGGGTCGATTGAGAAAACGTAAGACCCTATTAATTCTTAAAAATGATATGAATAGTTCAATGAGCTCACTATGAAATACAGCATGATAGCACAGGGGTCTACTCCATGTAGGGCCTTACATTTTGGAAGTGTCAACGACCGAAATCCTTCCTAAACATTTTAGTTCAGTGACTGAAGGAAGCAATTGCTATCGGACATGATAACCATAACCCCTCCCAGTCAGAGGGCAAACACCCATCCCTCACACGCATCACCTACTTTGTCAGAAAGAAAAAATAAAGGGATTTGAGGTAATTTGTAAAATAAAACAATATTAACCAGGAGAGGGTGATAATAAGCTTGTTCTGAAGCCCATATGTATGAGATCCCAAAGAAAACCATAAACAGGTTATATTTAATCCCTAGAAAAATGTACCTCTTCCCTAGGATTTCATCATTCTAAACAGTTGTGAATTTTTTACAATGAAATACAACCATTACAAAGAAGGGGACAACAGGAAAAACAGGCTCAATTTCTAGTGACAATGACAAGAAAGATGAAAAATAGTACAATTGAGGTCAATTGTGGGGAAGAAGAAAATTAACGTCCAGGTTCTTAAAGCCTTTAATAGCAACTCCATGGGGGGGATGGGGGGGTGAAGATGACAAAAGAATGTGTAGAAATATATTCCATAAAAAGGTATTTATCCGCTTGGTCCCCCCACTCTCTCCAGGCAAAATGAGAAAAAAGAAAGAGAAGGAAAAAGTGGCAACAGATGAAAATATAGACTCTTTGGAAAGCACTTCAAAAAATAAATTAAGAATGGGAAAAATTAAAAGAGAAGTCCAACAGAAGAACGGCCATGTAGAACTAAAATGCTCTGACAACAGAATTTAGAAATAACCAAGAAGAAACAAGCCTCCCTTGCCCCAGCCCTGCATCGAGCGCTCATGCCCTATTTTTCTGACTGCGGCACAGACCCATTTCCAGATCAAGTGGAGACCTTTGAGCCTTTGGATCGGAAGCCTCCCTAAGCCTTTTACAATCGTGGGAGGGGAGCCGGGAGTTTAATGCCGGGGACAGGCACAGAGCCACCGCCGTTCGAAAAAATGACACCTGGTTCTGCCGAGTGGGCGAAATGGTGAACCTGTTGTCATAGAGGCAAGATAAGCATGAGCCTCTCTCTCTCCCAGAAAAACGCTTTCCCAACTCTCAGGAGTGGCCCTGCTCAAGGTGCCATTGTCATCACGACGTGACTTCTGAGGGGTGTGTAACTAGAAAGAGCCACCTGCGCTTCGCCACCCGGCCACGGGCACAGAGGCCTGGAGGGAGGTGGTGGGAGATGGTGGTGGTGACTGAGCTCGGAGGCAGGGGCAGGCAACCTGGAATCTAATCCTGGCACAGTCCCTCCTTCCCTGAGAGAATGACCTGGAATCATATGTTTGACCTCAAATTCCACGTAGCAAAATGCAAATGGTAATACCCACATCCCAGAGCTGCTGTGAGGAGTAAACACTGCAGCCTAGTTACATGGTCTGACAGCCCTCAAACGGTGGACGCTATCTGCTTTTCTTTTCTCCAAAATCAGCACTCATACATTTTATGGAGAAAAAAAAAGAGAGCGGGAGAGAGAGAGAGAGAGAGAGAGAGAGAGAGAGAGAGAGAGAGAGACCAGTAATTCTTTTTCAGGGTCCCACAGTCAATACTCAGGATGCTTACTAAGAAGCATTTCTTCGTAATAAAACTATTACTGATCCTCACTGAGTGGCCAGATTTTATAAGATGCAAATCATAATGGCCTAAAAGGTTCAATGTGCCCAAGAGCCAAATGGTAACGGCGGTAAGAGCACCTCTCCAACACAGCGGCCGCTCACCACGTGTGGCTGCCCAGCACCTGCAATATGGCTCGTCCTGAACTGAGATGCGCGGTAAGTGTAAAACACACACTCAATTTCAATGATTTCGTAGCAAAAAATAAATACACCATGAGTAATCAAAATTAACTGAAATAGAAATAATATTCTGAGTAAAACATCATTAAATTATTTGCACTTGTTTCTTTAACTTTTTAAAAATAAAGCTACTAGAGCCTGGCCAGCGTGGCTCAGTGGTTGAGCTTCAATCTACGAACCAGAAGGTCATGGTTTGATTCCCGGTCAGGACACATGCCTGGGTGGTGGGGTCAATTCCCACTGTGGAGTGTCCAGAAGGCAGCCGATCTATGATTCTCTCTCAGCATCGATGTCTCCATCTCTCTCCCTCCCTCTCCCTTCCTCTCTGAAATCCATAAAAATATATTAAAAATAAGTAAGTAAAGCTACTAGAATATTTGAAGTTACGTGTGGGTCTCGTATTTGTTTCCTATCAGACAGAGCTGCTCTAAGCGATCTGCCGAACACCAGCACACACAATGGCTTTCTGACACACGGTACATTCATGAGAAGCGGTAACTAGGAAACTGAACGACTGTCATGAGCATTTCTGAATGCTCCTCCGCCATCGTGCCTCCGTGTTCCCGGTCGTAGGAGACCTGAGTGCAGGTGTCCTGTCGGTGAAACGCCAAAATCGAGCATGATGTCTTCTCCGTGTTAGCAAGCAAACTGTAGGCTATGGTATTCCTAACTCTATTAATCCAGCTTCTCTAATTAGGGAAAGGCTTTTTCCCCTTCTTTCATTTTAAAGAACAGCAGCAGCGTTCCAGAAACACCACGGCACTGCCACGAAAGGGCCTGAGGAGCAAGCCTCCTGCAGCGCTCACTGTGAAAGACGCAGGGTCCAGCAGATGACAGGGTTCCACGCCTTCCACGCCAGTTAGGGTACAAAACCACCACTGCTCGCATAGCAGCTCCTAACTCATCAAGCACTCTATCATATTCCCTCCCCACATTTACCCTGAGAGAGGGTTATTCTTAATCTCCCTTAATAAATGAGGCAACTAAAACGGTGAGAAACTGCCCGGCTAGTGTGGCCCAGTGGTTGAGTGTCAACCTCCTATGAACCAGGAGGTCACGGTTAGATTCCCGGTCAAGGCACATGCAGGGGTTGTGGGCTCGATCCTCAGTAGGGGGCCAATCAGTGATTCTCTCTCATCACTGATGTTTCTCTCTCTCTCTCCCTCTCCCTTCCCCTCTGAAATCAATACTATGAGAAACTAAATAACATGCCCAAAGAAACCCAGGAGGGCAAAAGAAGAGCAGTTCAGGGTAGCCTCCTCTAAACCCCAAGCATTCTGCTTTCTCGGGGGTCAAAAACAACACTCCCACACCCACACCCACAGAAAGCTACAGGCGTGGCCTTTTAGTAGAGGACCCTTCACCACTTGCTGTGTCCAGGGGGTGACCTGCGTTGCTTGTAAGTGAATTCACCGTAGGGCCTACCGCAGGTCAGGCACTGTGCTGGGCGTAGAGGAGGAACCAAACACGGTCGCCAACCTTCAGTCCCTCACAGACAAAGAAAGGCTCCAATCAAGGGCCACACTCTGATGTGGGTGAGCATGGTCTCCAGCCTCCTGCCCAGCCCCTTAGGTCCTGGGTCCACCCGCAGGCTCGGACCTGCCGCCGGCATGACAGGAGCCGGTCTGAGATGACAGGAGGCTAGCCCTTCTCCTCCCCTCTTTCCAAGGGCTCCTGCCACCACCCGTTCGAAGAAGGCAGGCAACAACGACGGGGCCCGCCCCTTCCGCGGGGCTGCCAGGATATCTGGTTCTATCACCTGAGAAGGTCCCAGGGCTAGGTGAGGATTGCACAGGCTTCAGGGCGGAGTTTCCCATGCCTGCTCTTTGCACAAAACTGAACCCGGAGAAAAGCACCCCACTCGGCAACCCCCGCCATCAATAAATCACAGAACCCCGGAAACACCAGCCAATTCCGCCAAGTAAATCGCATGTGTCGCACAGGGTCTTCCAGGGACTGGCAGAGAGGTGAGTGAGGGTGGCAGCTATCATTTCTTACTGCAAATTTACTGGAAAAACAGAAGAACCACTTACTTGCTATATAAGCCCCCCCTTTCTCTCTCTCTCTCTCTCTCTCTCTCTCTCTCTCTCTCTCTCTCTCTCACACACACACACACACACACACACACACGATCATATTCACACAGTCAAGAGAAATAATTTGCCAATATTAACCTTTACACACTTCCTTCCAACAATGAAAGCAAGTTTGAGCACCAAGAATTGCGACCAAAGACAGAGAGAGAGAATACGGTTGGTGTCCCTCACCTCCCGCTGGGGTCCCAGCCAACATTTCCAAATGGATCCAATGGACCTGTCCTCTCCCAGGCACCCGACCTCCAGAGCCAGGGCAGCCAGAGGCGCCACAGTCCATGGTTCCCCCAGGGGCTGAGCTCAAAAGTTCCAGAGACAAAAAATGCTGAACCTCACTGTCTGGCTCGAGTCGGGCCTTAATCTCCTTAGATGTGTCGCCCTTGTAAAAGAATCACACTGCATCCCACGTTAACCGCCGATGGAGAGGATTTCAGGTCATGAAATAAAGACATGCTATAGCCAGTCGTGGGATGGGGGAGAGCAACCACTTTAGGGGACAAGGGAGCCACCCACAGGTGGGCCAGACGTCCACTTCCCAAGGTTCCTCTGCATCTCCTGCTTGGGAACTACGGATTCAACGGAGGATGCGTTCACTTGTTTGTGCTGTGGTCTTGTTTTTCACTCTTACTGAGGAGGGAGCAGCAGCCGAGGCAGAGGTGGGACAGCTGAAGGCCTGGGTGGTTCCCAGGTGGAGCAACAGGCCATCCTACGATGATGGAGAAGGAGCTTTCTGCCTAATGATCCCTCGAAGGGACAAGAGGAGCTGGATGTGCAGAAATTAGGCTTCCTGCTCCTCCACCCCCCGGTGGCTCGTATGTCAAGAGGAGGCCTCCAAGCAGAGCTTCAACAAGAAGGCTCCTTGGTGGTGTTGGGGGAGCGGGGGGGCAGAGGGGATGTGATCAAGAAATATTTTACTCTCAGAGTTCCCTCTACCGGCACCAGAAGCTGCCTTTCAGACCCCAAGGTGGACCCTAACTTGGGAAGATGAGAACAAAAACAGACCGAGGATTGGGGTTGGCGGGTGAAGGCCGGTCCTCTTCTCACTTGTTACCCCGAAGTCTCAAACTGGGGTGAGGGTGGCAGATAAGGAAGATGGATTTGGGGTTCCAGAACCAGGACTCCAGGCCCATTCGGGCTGAGATCGCCATTCCGCCCGAAGCCAGCTCTGAAGGCCGAGGGTTAGCCCCCACCTGGCCATCCTCTCCGTGGTGATAGGATCCCGGGAGCCTGGCAATCTGCAAAATGGGATTCCACAGGCGCACGGGAGGCACAGCGTGTACCTGGGCCACCCCTGGGAGCTGGGCCGTAGCAAGCCTGACCCAAGGCACTAAGTCCCTGATGACAGACATGCCCCGTTAGCCAATGACAGGGCCGCCTCCCCCCTCCAACATGGCTGGACTCAGATAAGTCTCCTTCAGTCCCCCCTCTCCCCGCACCCCTGAGCCGACCTACAGCAGGCCTACAGTAAATGCTGGCTCCGTAACCCAAGGCTCACCCAGGGGGACATTCATCGCATCATTCATCGGTGGTGCCAGCGCTGTCTGTTCCCCGTGATCCCCAGTGGCTGAGCTTGTCCACATCATGTCGGCCCGACGGCACTGCATCGAGCAGCAGCGGACAGGAAATGTCCAAAAATGACCGCACAGTGGGCTCAGGGGCTCGGCCCACGTTCCCGGGGGAAGCACACCAGACCCCCGGCTATGCACGAACTGGTGACGGAACCTGTTGGCTTATCTATCGCCTGGAAGGCCAGGCAGGCAGTCACTGCTGTGAGACTCCAGCGCCCAGCAGCTCTGTACCCGGTGCCTGTGCACACCTGGGACCCGGGGGCTTACCTGCAGGCCCACCCAAGACTGACTTGGAAGGACAGCAGCATCTATTCTAAGTTTAATAACCAGAGAGAGAGACAAAATGTTTACTGATCCCAGATTTTTTTTTAAAAAAAAATGTTTTTAAGGAAAAAAGTAGAATATGCAAGTTTGCGCATCACAGTAGAGTTCACACATGTGGCATACTGTTTCGCTAAATTTTGGGGGTTCCTTTCACAGTGGGTTACAGAAGTAGATGTTAATAAGTGTCAAGACTCAATGGATCGGTAAGCGGACTGTACCCTAATTCATCAACCTCAGGGTTCTGTCCTCTGTCCTCCATGAAGTAGAATTTTACTCTGGAGCTTTCTCAGAGGATAATTTTTTTTTAAATAATATTTAAGTGAAGATGCATTTGCCACTCGCCTTGTTCTCATGATCCTCTCTGGAAAGCAATTTGCAAATCAAAGTCCCGTAAGTCAAAAAGGAGTCGATAAAATTGTCTTTATGCAATCATTTGCTTCATCACCTCAGGTTCTGAACTCCACCTAAATGTTATTTTATCTCATTTAACAATTAAAAGGAAAAACCCTTGATTGGCTTCTCGAGTGTGGTGTTCAGGAAAGGCTGGGCTGAGGTCCTCCAGCCAGGAATTAATAAAGGAACCAAGCACTCGCTGCCAATAAGTCAAGACTGCCCAGGTTCCTAGTGGGGATGGTTCATAGCACAAGCGTGTTTTCTTTGGGGAGGTTAACTCACCAAAATTATTAAAAATTGAGCTCAAACACTGGTGCAAAGTCCCAAAGGAAATCATACGAGAGTGGAGAGATGATTTTTTTTTTTTATCAAATAAAACCCTGCAAAGGTAAAGTTTTTATCATGAAAAATAAAAGGATTTCTCCCTTACAAAAGGGAATCTTACTGGCTGTGCTTAGGGTTCAAACAGAAGAACAGGCCGGGGTATTTAACAGATGTCAATTTCATCCCTGGGAGCGGAATGCAGATTGCAGAAGGCCGAGCGGAGCCCCGCAGGCAGCCATCGCCACCCTTCCCCAGCCACCAGAAGCCACTCTCCCCAAGCCCCTCACCAATGCCTCCACCGAGATGCAACAGCAGCCAGAGCCCCTGAACCGGCTGACACCGGAAGGAGAAAAAGAGAAGAGAGCAAGAAAGGGAGGAGCAGGGTGTCCTGCAATTCCCTCGGGGCACCCGGGGACCTTGGATGGCAACATGGAGGGTATTACTGTTGTGACTGAGATGAAGTTAATAAACCTGCTCACAGGCTGGGAAACTCGGGTGCCCGCCGATGGACTCCGGATACTTTAGTAGACGTGTACCTGTGTAACCTGTAGCAATTACTTAACGAAGAAAAACAGAGCAGAGAAAGTGAGTGCATTCCTTTTTTCATGTGAAGACACCCACTTTACAATGTCTATAGTTTCCAAAAGGAAATACTAAATTTAGTATTAAAATAACCCAAGAAACCTCTTAAGCCACTGCATATAAATCCAGTGGAAATCTTATATTCATCTTTGATATTACCCAAGGAAACCACCCAGCCACAGGAGTGCTAGTCCACGTTTAACTCTCTTTGAGACGTGTCACCAAAGCCCAAAGTGACCTGTCTCCTGAAAAAAAAAAATTTTTTTTAATCTAAATATTAAGAAAAAAGTAAGTTTCAACCTTTCTTAAAGAAAAAAAGGCCTGGAAAAGCACCCCATCGTTTTAAATTGTGGGGTAATCCCAGATATAATGCATCTCAATTTGAAAAAGATTTCATTCCCCGCAGATCCCCTGGATTCATAAATTCTTTTCTATAACAATTTCTGAGCCACAAAATGAAGCCTATGAGTGTCATTTCTCCCCTTCCCCCCAAAGGCAACAGTTTCAGAATAGATCTAATCTCCCAAGCTCCACACAAAATAGCAGAGAGACAGGTCAAAGACTCCTTTCCAACCCCGCATTAAAGGAGGCGGAGGTGCCTCTGTGGTAGAACCCCGGGCTTGGGTGTGAACTCAAGGACTGGTGTGGCGCAGGCCTCCCTCTCATGTCCAGATGAGAGGGGCTATTCTATCTCAGCACCATCTCAGCCCAGATCCCCATAAAGATGGTAAAAGCAACTATACCTAACAGTTTCCAGGCATATACGTTCATTTCTTTAGTCTGGTAACAGAAGTAGGATCACAAACGGATATGTTTTCAAAGAGTGAGCCTGTGTGTATTGTATACACGAGAGGCGGCCTGCGAGCCAGACAGCCTGGAGGGGTCCTAGGGCAGGAAGAGGGCGCATCTCAGGGGCGCTCCTTGCTCAGAAAGAACCGTCGCCCTCAGACGCGCTTCCCAGCTCTACATCCATCTCCCATATAATTATGTTTGACAGAGTATAAGCTCTTGGCAGTGAACTTGTTTACAATAAATGCTTCGTTTGGGTACATGGGCCGTATTTCAGTCTTATAAATATCAAACACAACCTTACAACAGCCCCATTATGAAGCTGAGAATTATTCTGCTATAAATCTTTTTATTGGGGGGCCAAGGGGAATTACTTTGCAGCTTGTATTCCACTAACCACTTGGAACAGTGTGAGAAGAGGTACATTTATACCCTGACCCTGTGCTAATTGGGATTCTGTGGGTTTCCACGGGAGAACGCACAGTATCCACCCTGAGCGCGCAGGTGGGTCCCCAGGCAGTCGGGCCACAGCGGCAATACACGTGCAGCAGAATGGCTCTTCCTGGAGTCACAGCGTTTGCCTGCAGTTCTTTTTCCTCCTGGAACTCCCTGGGGAACTAATGGCCATTTGTGACGGGATTGGCAGGCTTTCAGTGGTGAGCTCCAGTTTAGGGAGATTTATAAGTTAGCCGTAAAAATGTGCTTAAGGCTCAAACTGACGATATGAATGGGCCTGTAAATAGAGTCAGTTTCTCTGAATGTTACCTGGCGATTCATTTGAAAAGAAAAAAGAAACCAGGATCACCTTATTTACCCATCAAGTACATTTACTTGGGTCTTAAATGTGTAATAACTTCCCTTTCAGAGAACAATTTGCTCCTCTTATACGTCCTCAATAATAGTAAAGGGGGTTTAGTCTTCTAAGACCATATCTGCCAAACCTATAGGGCAAAACCTGGTCTGAATGGAGCGTTGTAAGCTGAAAGCAGGCAGAGCTTGTGGGGGGGGGGGGGGTACCCACGCTTAGCCCCATCCTCCGTGGATGCCTTTCTCCAGGAACGTACCCCTCACCAGCATTCCCAACACTTTCTGGTTATCAAGTGATGATAATTTATCACTGCTGGGCTTCTGCACTGGTTTCTTAATTTCACAATGACCTTGTCATCAGATTACTATAGTAATTTAACTTTAACATAACATTGACATCTAGAAAAGATCATCTTAAGAATCCTAATGTATGTTTTCAAAAATAACTAATACTGGGAAATAGTCACTTTATTACTTAAAAGTAAGATTCCAACTCCTTTCCTTCTAGTCAGCGTTATAATTCCAGTTGATGTAAACTAATTTTGTATGTCTCTCAGCTTCTAATGAAGAAGACAAGCAACTGATTTATAAGTTTCAAGGGTCATGAAATATAATTTTATAAAAAAAATTTTACCACATGATTTTAGTATATGAGAGAGACAGAGAGAAAGAGAGGAAAAATATTTTCATTGCATTATCAGCCTCACCGATCTCTCTTGTTCATATCAAAAACACTAGTTTGCAATGTGAACTCATGGAAAATTGTTAAATTCACCTAAAATAATCACTCCCTCTTTTGAACTAAATAAGCCCTTTTAAAACCTTTGACTATTTAGCTGCTATTTACTTGGAGGAGGGGAGACATGGAGAAGGTGACTGTATGAAAAAAAAAAATACTTTTTTTTATTGTAGAACAAAAATTCCCTCCAAGGCAAGAAGACACGATGCCAAGTTCCACCCAGAATTAATGTTTAGGTTTAAATTGTAAGGTCCAGAAAAAACAGAACCACTAAAAGACCCTTAAAGCTCATGGCATTCGTCAACGCTGTTAGGTTATGTAAATGTTAAAACTGAAAAAAACCTTTGCGGACAAAAGTTTTTAATGGAAGCACTATTAACTAGGCTCTCAGAACTGCATGTTTTAAGCCTTTTGAGCAGTTCCACTCGGAGGCGGACGATGCCCGGGACCCCGCCGGGAAGGGCTCACTGCCTATCTCATCCCTTTCCTCCTGCCACGCTCAGAAAGCTTTGGAAATACAGACCCCGAGACAACTCTTACCACAGAGCACAGACGGCTTCTCCAATAACTGTCCACAGACTCCAACCCAGGGCTCCTGCTGCCTGGATCGCCAGCATCAGCT